CTGGCAGATCAGCAGGTATTTTTCTGTACTTGCAAGGTCTTTACATACTTCAGTACTTGCATGTTAAACCCCAGGCCGATTTTCAGTTTTCAGTGCTTTGAAAGTTTGACTGAGAATCCGTCACGCAATGCTATAACTAAATTTGTTTCAGATAGTTTTTTGGGGAAATATAGAGCTTTCGTTTGCTGGTACTTAATAACCTTTTTTACTATATGGAAAAAAAAACCACCTGTTATGAAAAAAAGGTCAGCACAGTATGAAACCACCCAAAATTACACCTTTTAGGAAAGTAGACACTCCAAGGTTTTTTTTGCTGCATTTGTAAATTAACATGCCTGTATTGAGGGGATAAAAAATGGAGCTGGTAATGGTACACAAGGTACAATAAACGTACAGGTAATACACAGAGGAAGGTGGAGGTGAAGGGGTTAATATACAGGTCACATACACTGGCAGGATAAAGATGAAGGGGTTAATGTATAGATGCGCAGGATAAAGAAGGTGAAGGGGTTGATACACACATTAGAGCAGAGACAGAATGGAGCTGACACATACAGGAGTGGAGGGACAAAGGACAAAACAGAGCGCCTCCATAGTGTAAAAACGTAATTTATTGGTACAACACACAACTAGAATTGTACTTACAAAAAAGTCGGTAGTTAAAAGCATGTAAACGTCAATGGAACTCGAAATCTCTAGCAGCGGGAGTCTGAAGGGATGTATCACATCAGCGTCCTCTGCCCCTGTGAGTTCAAAAGGTCTACGTGTTTCAGGGGCACGCCCCCTTCATCAGAGCCTAGCGGGAGTCTGAAGGGATGTATCACATCAGCCTCCTCTGCCCCTGTGAGTTCAAAAGGTCTACGTGTTTCAGGGGCACGTCCCCTTCATCAGAGCCTAGCGGGAGTCTGAAGGGATGTATCACATCAGCATCCTCTGCCCCTGTGAGTTCAAAAGGTCTACGTGTTTCAGGGGCATGCCCCCTTCATCAGAACCTAGAGGTAGGGGCAGAGGACGCTGATGTGATACATCCCTTCAGACTCCCGCTGCTAGAGATTTTGAGTTCCATCGACTTTTACATGCTTTTAACTACCGACTTTTTTGTAAGTACAATTCTAGTTGTGTGTTGTACCAATAAATTAAGTTTTTACACTATGGAGGCGCTCTGTTTTGTCCTTTGTTTCCCAGATCGGTGGTCTATGTGACCTGTGGGAGCTGCCTCTGTTGTGTTCCATTATTCGTTACAGCTGGCCCGCTTTGCAGCCGGAGGCGCCGGTATTGTTTTTTTTGTTGCTTGGGAGTTGAGGGAGGTAAAAGGGTTAAAAATCATTGCAAACTTTATTTTTGTTGCTGCTGCAGCTTGTTTTCCAGAGGAACAACTGGAAGGATGACTCATTCCTGCCCCTGTTGTAAGAGAAAGAGGAGATCGCTGTGATCACATGGAATGCAATCACAGCTATCACAAGGCACAACCGGTCCAATCTCTTCTGTGCCCGAAGCCTTTGCTGTCCGCCGTCTAAAGACAGCGCGAGCAGCGGCTTCTGCACACACAGGATGTACAGGCAGTGGCGTATTATGGTTTTGTGCTGCCCTAGGCACCCCCCCCCCCCCCCCCCCACCCCTATCCCACCACTGCATCCCTGCACTCCTGTTCCACACTGCACCCCTATTTCCCCACTGCACCCCCATACACCTATTCCACTACTTCACACCCATACACCTGGTCCACACTGCACCCCCATACACCTATTCCACCACTGCACCCCTATCCACCACTGCCTCTCCACACAGCTGTTCCACACTGCACACCTGTTCCACCACAGCACCCCCACACACCTG